TGTTAAACAGAAATTATCACACGAAGAGAAATTGTTTCGAAACATCGTATTGTACAAGAATTTTCACAAAAGCATAATTTTCGAAATAAATTCCTGTAAAAGCCATCACCTTATCCTCATATGCATCGACAAATGCTTGTAGTGAATTTGGTGGTCCACAAAGAACTTTTTGATGTCCACGACATCGTTCCTATAAATTAAATATTTTTATACACAGAATGAGGAAGGCCAAAATAATATTAAATAAAAGTGAACAGCAAATTTTACATTTTTATAAGTTATGAGTAAATTGAGAAGTTAGATGTTAGACATGAGAAAAAGGACCTTAAGCTCTTCAATTGTTTTGCGATATCTTTCGGTTTTGCTGCACATAATTTTCAGAGCAGCTTTCTTCTTTTTTATAGCTTTCCTCCTGTCAAGAATATTTTGTTTCAAATATTCAATGGACTCATGCGTTGAATGCAACTCATCGCCTAGAGAAATCTAGAAAATCACGAAAATTATAATCCAGGTATTTTAATTAATATTTAGATATTATTCACAAAAGAATTCTTCGAGAAAAAAAAGACGTAATAGTAGATGCTACCAAGTCTTTTTTGAAACTAACATCAGCTGCAAAAATACTTTCGATTTCACGAGTGAAACATTGCTTCCTGTATTCTTTTTTTCTTTGCAAATTATGCTTATCAACAAATCGGACTGAAAATGGCATTCCTAATATATACAGTCAAAAATTTTTTGTTAAGTAAATATTCGTTATGCAATTATTGAATGAAGTTTTTATCAATTCTGAATAGGATAAAAGGAATTTCCGGTTAAAATAGCTTTCGCCTAAAACACATAAACTTGTTCTTTGACATTGTTAGAAAATGAAAAGGAACAAACTTTTATGGTTGACACAAGTCCTACATAGGCATAACATTTTGTTGCTACACATCGAACATGGATATCTGTCACCTGTCCAATCTGTTGAGTTACTGTAAGTTAAAATTTTTGGATAACAAACGCTGAAAATTATTTTTAGAATAACACGAAAACCCAAGAAATAGCGAACGGAACAGGATCAAGCAGAGTCATCTCCTACAAATAGCGTTAACAGTTAATCCTGAAAACTGTAAACAAATAAAGTGATAACCTATCAGTATCCATTCCTGAACTGCACATCGGTGAGTTAATACGCGTGTATATACCCAATGGTGTTATCTTATCTATGGATGTATCAATTAAACCTCTGCAATTCACCAGCTCGCTGATATCTGTGAAACACCTCATCGCTTTCCGTATTTCTAGAAAATTTCACTGTAAATAAAGCGATCCATCCTCACATACTTCTCTCCCATATTTTATTTATTTCGCCGATATAAGTGAAATTATATGTGTAGTTCGAAATGAGAAATATTTTGAATATATAGGGAAAAGATGACATTTTATTAATGCAAATAACAATATCATATTCTGAAAAACTAAATCTATGAATTTAAACTTTTTCAGAAAAATTTTCACCTAACCTTTTCAATCTAATCAAATTTTATTTCTTTATAATAAATATATACCTGGAGTAGGCGTTGAGATAGGATTTGTAGCAAAGTTACGTGGAAGATTAGTTTCTGTATCCATCATCCACCATGTTTTCTTATCCGATAACATTTTATGATTATATTGGGAAATTTTGAGATCTTTAATAGAAATTATTCATTCTCATTATCACTCAGTCACGCTAAAAATCCATAAAAAAGAAATAATTTAATCGCAAATCAAAAAATACTTAAAACTGAAAAGAAATGAAAAAGTAATCAATGGCTATCATAAAATGAACATATCACTTCATATCAATCAAATCAATATGTGATTATAAGTGATATAATGGAATGCTTTTAAAGAGATAACAGGGATTAAAAACACTGATAGTAGAAGATATGGGAGGGAAGAAGAGGGAAAGAAGGAGAGAGAGGGAGAGGGAGAGGGAGAAGAGGAGAAGAGAGAGAGAAAGGGAGAGGGAAAGAAGTTGACGGACGAAGGTTAACAATTCGTGCCCGTTAGAATAAAAAATGTACAATGTCAAAGCAATTCAAAACATTCCTTCTGGCAAAATGCCCAACAAAGTGTTTTGAATTAGTATTGATCAATGAGTAGTGTTCGGCTTGCTTGCAAGGAGATGGAGGTGACAGCTCTCTTTTAACATTGTGATACTTTTTGTTGCTATCTGTTCGCTAGTGATGTCACCAGAATTGGTCAAACCCTCGATCGTGTCACCAGGACGAGTGAAACTCTCGATCGTGTCACCAGAATGAATGAAGCCATCGGTTGTGTCATCAAAATTGGTCAAACCCTCTGTTGCCAAAAATGCAAACATATCTGTTAATTCAACTAAGAAAGTTGAATTAACAGATATGTTTGCATTTTTGGCAACAATCTTCCCAGAATCACGAGTCTTAGTGGTACAAAGGGCGCTATTGTGGGATTTTTTGCAATAAAAACAACTTGCTCTTTTTATGCAGTTGAGTTCGTTGTGTCCAGATTTAAAGCAATTAGAGCAAACATTGATTTCCTTCAATCGATCAGACTGTAGAATATATGTGACACTTGCTATCCCAGTGATTGTTATTGCAGAAGATACAGGGTCTCCTTTTCTTATTTGTCGACCAATTTGGATTCTCTTGATTTAGCTGGTTCTTTTCGGCTGAAGCCGTTCCTCTGATTTGCTTTGATTGTTTTATTGCAATCAATGCTGAATTATTGCCATTGGCCAAGTATTGCCATTCCATTACCTGGTCGTTTCTACTAATTGTCTTCCTGAGAAGCTGTCTAAGTTTTGTTACGGACCACTGGCCATCTTCTTCTTTTTGTTGATAAACCTGGTTTAATATCCAGTTTGGCAATTTGGATTCTATTATCGTTTCGATGGTAGGTTGCTCTACGTTTTCGCCAATTGCTTCTAACTGCCTTAGAACTCTCTCCATTTCTTCGATTATTGTTTTCCAGTCTCGGTCGTTTCGTTTTGTAGATATGTGTTCATTGTAAAGTAATTTTCTTATAGTGGAAACACGACCAAATTTCTCCACTAATAATTCTCTTATAATTCTATAGTTTTCAGGTGCCCTATCGTAACCTCTTACTAGCTGTAGGGCGTTTCCTCTTAAGCAAGAAACCAAGTAATTTAATTTTTGGATATCTGGTATGTTTTGAGAGTGTACGGAGGCTTCGAAACTACTCCAGAATTCTCTCTATGTTTTAGGGTCTCCACTAAACGTTGGTAACGACAATTGTGGTAAATTTACTACTGGACGACATTCAGTTAAGCTAGGTTCTTTAATTTGTGCTAGACGTTTAAGGACTAACTCTGTATCATCCTTGTACATAGATAAGGTTACAATGGTATCCGTACCTATGTTAATTAATTTTAAAATACCTCTATCGTCGTTTGCCATTTGTTCGTATTTTTCTTCTTCTTTTTTCTTTTGCGACATTGGGGCTAGTTGAATGTGTTCCAACCATTTGTCGTTGATCTTCTCAAGAATGCCAACGTATTTTTCGAGGCGCATCAACTTTTCTTTGATGATCCTTGCCCTTGCTTCGTATTGCTGGCACAATACTTCTACTGTCGCTTTTTGGTCTAACGGAGTTAGATCCATTTGTCGTATTTCATCGAGGAGTCCCTCGAGATTCGCTTTTACTGGTGTAGCTTGAACAATTATACTGGCTGACATACCTTACCTCACCTCGGGCACCAAAAAATTATTTTTGTCGTGAAACCTCAAACTTGGGTAATTAAACCTTTATTTAACATGAAGCAAATAATAACGCTTTATGCATATCGTACGGATGCTACACGCGTAAACTATATAAAATGCAATAATATAAAAATGGTGAAATAATACAAAATTATAAAATATTAGACGCATCCCAAAACCACCCAAAACATAAAGCAAATGATGGTTATAGAAGGATTGGTTGGTTTATATATAAGACTGATTTAACGAATGGAAATTAGATGGAAGAATTTCTAATGGATGAAAAAACAAGATTGTTAACAAGATTAGTTTTATGTGTGAAAGGAGGAAATAGATTAGTATGAGACATAGCTGAATTACAAATGTAAAAATATTCGGAAATTGAATCATCAAGTGTGAGAAGAATTTTGTAAATGTAAATTAGATTTAGGAATTAGATAAGAGGAATTTGTTAGTTTTGGATGTAATAATTTAAATATTTCGTCTTTCACGACACCCTCGATCGTGTCACCAGAATTGGTAAAACCCTCGATCGTGTCACCAGAATGAGTGAAGCCATCGATCGTGTCACCAGAATGAGTGAAGCCATCGTGTCACCGGAATGATTGAAACCCTCGATCGTGCTACCAGAATGAGTGAAACCCTCGATCGTATCACCAAAATGAGTCAAGCCCTAGGTTGTGTCGCCAGAATGTATCAAATCCTCTATTATTCCGCGAGGATAAGTCAAATTCCCGATCGATACTGTTACAAGAGTAATTCTCTAATGGTACTTAAACGAATGAATTTCCGATGATTATGAGAGTGACAGAGATAACGATTATTAAGACTTTTTTCGTGTTATACTTGACATGCAGCTTATTTTTCTTACAGATCTATTATCTCTTGTAAAAGTTGATGTGTTCGATGTGAATGACAGCGTAATAAAATGGATAAGTTGAAATCGTCAAATCTATCAAAAGTGTTATTAATTGGCGATGTAAACGACAATTTACTTGAGTCACTGTTGGGTAAGTATCATATTTCATCGAAATAAGTGTTTAAATTCATCAATAGTTTTAAAAAAAGCAGAAAAATTTTGCATTTCTTCTCATATTTTCTTTACGACTAAATCTATCATTTGCATGTTTTTATGTGTCAACAAAATTTAAACACGAAACAGCAGTTCCAAACATTGATGCATTTCTTCTCTCTTTTTACGTCTCATCGACTTAGTAAGTTGAATCTATGCATGCAAAATGACATAAAACGTATTAAAATGTATTAAAAATGCAAATTATGTTTTGTGATATTACAGGAAATAAAAATTCCACGTTGAAACGAAAGAGTGAACTTCTATTGGATACGAAATATTACGTGGCTCGCTTGAAGTTAATATCGTTGAAGACAGTTGAAAAGATTAATGAATGGAAGACTTCCACACTGAATATGAACGTTGGTGCTATTGTGTATAATTATGATGGAGAATTCCGTTCAATGGAGCAGTTGAAACAACAAATGTCTACATGGCGAGCAGAAATTCAAGTATACTGATTCAAGTGTAAAAGTTATTTAGAAATTAATAGCTTGAAGTTTTTGAGAATATTGAATTATTGTAAAATTTCATCTAAATTGCACCATAAGTGGACTTTGTATGCTGTAAAATTAATAGATTTGCCTTTTGTCTGCTAGTCTAGATCTAATCATTATCTGTAGGTCACTGTTTGTAAACGTTTGGAGCGTTCGGCGGATTGGTCAGAAAATTTATATCGCTTTTGTGCTGATGAACAGATAGAGTTGGTAGAACTTGACCCGGATGCTGTAAGTCGAGTTTAATTATTAATTGAAACGTATGTAGTATGTATGAGTTCGAAACTCTTCAAAATTTTATGACAGTAATTCGAAAAAGCTCTATCACAAATATAACTTTTATTTGAAATTTAAGCACATAGGTAAATGTTGGCTAAAGAGACAATGCATTTTATGCTTTTCGGAGTGCTTAATTGACGTCATTAACGTAATATCAATGTTAGTTCGATTTGTAAGCTAAAGTTGCATTGGAGGGATGACATTTACTTTTATTTAGTATGAAATGTAAAGTAAGGAAAGAAAAACTTTCCATTCTCTTTATACATATAGGTTTTCAGGAAACAATAGAAGAGTTAAGTGAATATCGTGAACTTTATGGAGTGCCTCGTATAAGACAGGTTGGCTTTTACGGTGATTTGTTATGATACATGAATTATGAGAATGAATTTATAGTCGAATGAGAACTATGGAACTGCTTTGTGATTGATATATTCTAGATTCCCGTGATCTTTATGTAGTATTATTGCCTAATCTTTATGTACTGTTAATAATTTTGAGAAATTCATTACTAAATTCATTGCATTACTTTTCCGTTGGATATTGCGTTTAGATCTTAGAAGCTGGAAGCTGGAGCGATAAAACAATGAAACTGAATCCGCTTGAATCAAATGAACAACGAGATTTTAAGAAAACTGATCACCCTATTAATAATTCTGCTAAAAAGTCTTCCAAAAATTCTTTTGGTGATGAAGAGTTCGGATCAGATGGTTGTGATATGACAAATGAGGAAAAAGGTGCTTTTAATAGACATTAATAAGATGTTAATAGCTCTATATATTTGTCATTCTATTAATAGATAACTTTCTTCGATGCCACTTTTACAAGAAATTCTGAGGAATTATTTTTCAGAAATGATATTGAAGTTGTTTGGAAGACCAAAGGTATTATTTGATAGTGTGATTAAAGATGCAGATATTCCGGATCGTGCAGTTATTGATTACTTCAAATTAGAAGCAGAGAAAACCAAAAGACAGAACAAAGTAGCTGCCAACGTAAGTTTCATGAAATATTGTTCTCTTACTTCATATCCTCAATGGTTTTGACTTCATATGAACTTTTGTTGCTTTCTTAATGATATGTTCAAACTCCTTCTAATAAAAGGAAAGAAAGCATGAGTGGAACAAACGGAAAATTTTGTGTTTAAATTTCGAATTTTTTCTTCAAAATATTTTTTGATTTTTAAAGCAGAATATCGTATTTTTAGAAGAAGAAGAGAAAAAAGAAATCAAAAGTTACAACTACAAATGAATTTGGTGAATTTGTTGGTGCGAAAAATTCAATGTCAAGCAATGTATTGACGGAAAATTCATCAAATACGAAGAACGAACAAATAGATGTTGATATACATATGCGCAGAGAACAAGAACCGAGTGCTGGTAATTGCAAAAAGTCTCTAGAAAATCCCAAGAATGATTCATGTAAATTAAATAGTGTTTCGCAATCAATGATCGATGGATTATTTGAAAAAAGTGTCGATGAACAGGGTGCAAATTTGGTCAATAAAATTCATGCAGTGATTTTTCATTTTCTTTGATAGAAATTTAGAAATATTTGCAGCATATGTTTTCAATTTATTTGTTTCACTTTTTTCTTTTTTTTATAGAAATACACAAAAGCTAATGAGTGAGTGCTGTTCGCAAAAAGAAAAATTTTTTGTAAATTAAGTATCACATGAAATTTTTTTTTTTTTTGTAAGGCGTTACGTGTTTCAGTATCTGTTGAGGTTTTAGAAAAGAGAATATGTTTCGAGTTATCATTGCATTCTTTAAAAAATTTAGGCACGATCAGCATTACTCAAAATGCCGTTTGGTCCAGAACGACAGAATTTAGCAGCTGATACGATGGCTGCAGTAATCAAATCAATTGGAGATAGTGATTTTTTCAACAGTTCTTCAGATGATGAACCGCACACCTAGGATACTTCGACTTTTGTATAATTAATTCACTCATTTCACTTACTTTTTTTTTGTTGTTACCTTGGTTGTGTTTTCTTTTACAACTATAACTAATTGTTAAACATCAGTAGACAAAAAACCGGACAAACATAAGAAATAGAACGGTTTAACCACTGTCTATCCATAATCTTCTGTTGGAGAATGATAATTCTATATGCATTTAACCTGAAGCCAAGATAGAAGATACACTTTATAAGAAGAACAGTGCTGGATGTTTTTCTCGTTTTCAACAGTTTTTTTTCAATTAAGTTACAGTTGCTGTTTTGAATTTCCATGGACTTTGACTCGATTTACTTTGATTTCTAACGAATATTATTCCCTGTAACATTTCCAATTTTACCATTGCAGAAACTGAATGTCATTCGAGATGAATCCTTTCTGTGATGGAAATGTTGGTATTCATTTATTTTTGCAAAACTTCACGTCGAATTGTAAATCAGTTTTTCTTAATTTCTAGTGAAGACTTCATTCTAGTCGTTGAAAGCTCTTCATAGCATTTAATTTAATATTCTTACGCTAGTAAGAGCCAAAGTAATAAATGAGACAAAAATATCGCTAATTTTTTTGCCTAAGTAATATTGTCATGTGAGAACTTCATTTGAAACATGGATGGATAAGTAATTCCTCGATTTTGTACTTTTGTAATTTTAACATGGATAACATAGACTGATGTTACTAAAATGATTTATTAAATTTTTTTTTAAATTACTTGTTAATTTATTAAAAACAAAATGTTCTTAAAAATATAATATGAACTTATTAAATCCATTTCATAGGATAACCTGGTCTTTTTTTTTTGTGCATTTGATGGATCACTTTTAGTTTTAGTTCCACGTTTTCTTCTAAAACATTTCGATGTTGGTTGTACTGAAGACATTTGGGAATAAAAAAGAATTTCATAACGGTAAAGAAAAATTAGAACTTAAAAATGCATTGGAATGGAAATCTAATCGAGAAAAATCATCGATGAATCACTGAGATATCATCAAGAAATTAAGCAATCGGAGATCTTTCCATGTCAGAAGGAATGTTGTAGTATGTCAAATTGAGGTTTCTTTGCAATTAGTCTTATCATTACATTGATTAACAACGTATTATCAATTTTTTACTTCACATTTGAAGGATTATTGATGACAAAAAAAAAAAAAAATAGCTCAAATGAAATGAACATTGAGAGAAAAAGTTTTCGAAATTTCACAATGATATATAAGTGAAGTATATTTTGCATTTTATAAGTAATAGGGAAGAAAAGTTGCAAAAAAAAAAAAATGCTCAAATATACAACAAATATTGCCAATATGAAATTTCATTTTTAATAAATGAATCAATTCATTTCGAAAAGGGAATAATTATTACGATTTGGCAGCTACTGCTGTAAGTAATACTATACGAATATTTAAATTTATTAGGTAACATTAAATTTGTGCTATTTCATTACAAATTATTTTCTTAATTTCATTATCGTTTTAAAAAATGCTAGACAGGCTTAGCTAAAAATTAATACCATCATTCACAATTTAAGTTTAACTAATCTAATATCACATAAAATCGTTTTTTAATTTGCTAAAATCTTCCGCAAATATTAATCGTCAAGCATTTTGAAAACTTCTACAATTAAACAATTCTACGAACTGTTTAATTTCATATTTGTTTTGAAAATAAAAAAAAAGAAAGCACTGAATTTTTCTTTCAGAAATATAATAAAATTCATTTATCATTTTAAAACAACTAATTAGTAATATTTAAAATCACTTGAAAAAGAAAAAAAAACAAACAAAATGGATAATTCAAATGTTAATGAATATTATAAGTTATAATAGAAAATTTAAGAGTATATCATAAGAAAAAAAAAAGTTATATAAAGTAAAACTAATCATTACTACAACACTGTTTCACTAATAATTTCAAATCATATGCAGCACGTGATACTGTCACAATACAATTAGCCATTGATTGTACAGCTGATACTGATAAATACTGAAATATAATCATTATACTTGTAATAATAATTTTCTAATCAATCAATCAATCAATCAATCAATATTTGGATTGATCTATTGAAAAAAAAAAGGAAAAAATTGTCGTTTATTTGTTTAAATAAACAAAATAAAATATTATAATTCAATGAAATTTTTGAAGTAATAGAAAAGATAAAATGACAAACTTCATCAGCGGCATGCTTTGTAGCTTGAACGCATGTTTTCAAAACATGAAGCAATCGATCAGCTGCATGTTTCACTTCTTGGCTAACATTGACAGATGAAATACATTCCGCAATTGTATCAGCCATATAAATTAATTTATGTGCAGTAAGTATTATCTGTAAAATTTTAATTATTATTACTCAAAATTATAATAGCAAATAGTAAATATTTGAGTATTTCATTTAGATTATTTATTAAAAAAAAAAAAGATTATTTCATTTAAAAAAAGTATTAAAATACATTTCAATATTTAATTCAAATAATTATGCATAATAATTTTCATTTATCATATTAATAATTTTCCATATATTGCGTCGATTTTCAATTCAAAAATAGAATTTAGAAAATTCATTAGATAATTTCAATTATTAATTTCAATCTTAAATAGCTGAACTACTCGACTATTATTAAAATATAAATTGATGAGAAAGTATGAAGAAGTATCATTTTATACTTTAACACAATGCATTTAAACATTTTACGATATAATTTTTTTTTTTTTTTCATAAAAAATGAAAAAATTGAAGCAATTAGTGAAAGAGTTAGGAATAAAAGCATACCAAAGCAATATAATCGATAGAATTGATAAGTAAAAAAATGTGATAAAGTGATAAAAATGATAAGTGATAAGTAAAGAATTGAGATATTACCAGTTTTCCTTTCTGAACAAATTCATGTGGTGGCATTTGTTCTTCAATTACAGTTAAGAATTCTTCAATTGCCTTGGAAAGGAATTCAGTGTGTGCATCTAATTGTGGTGAATAAAATTCAATCAATTGTCTGTCATCTTTTGATAATGATTTTATCACCTGAAAAAATCATTTTGAAAAAGTCTAATTAAAAACTTTAAATGAAATTTGCTAAAATAATTATCATATCAATTAACTGAAATGATTGTTATCAATTATTCATATAGTTTAGTGAATTAATAATTTAAAAATGATACTTTATATAAATGTAATGAGAAAATTAGAGTAAAAAATAGAATTAAATAGTTAAGTGAAAGTGACAATTAATAAAATTAACAATAATCATTTGAAAATTATTATTATTGAAGAAAAATTTTAATTTGAAAATTTTAAAAAAAGAAATTAGTAGGAAAAAATATTCATGCATACCTCTGTATTTAGTAATGCTAATGGTGGTATACTTGTTATCGGTCTCATCCGATGACTTACGATACTATCATCACCTTCAATTGTTGAATCCTAAAATTTGATGTGGAAAATTTAAAATTGAAAATAAATATGATTAATCAAAAAAAATAAATAAATAATAATGTCAAAAATGATATCTGAATAAAAGAGATTTTTTAATTTAATTAATTCAATTTGTGAATTTTAATAATATATTTAAATTTAATAAATTAATACTAAATATCTTATTGTTGTGTTGCGCATTTATTTTTTTTTTTTTTAAAAAAAATGATTTTTAGTTTTGCTGGCATAAAAAATAAAAATAATACTTAATGTAACAATTATTTTTAGAAGAAATAAAAATCAAATGGAATTAAACATAAAACAAATTAGAAAGATTTTAAAAAAATTCTTTTCTTTTTTTTAAATTTAAAAAACAAAAAATATGTGCTAAAAACAATCGTAGAAGATGCCAAATATCATAAATAAGTAAATAAAATTGACAATTAAACTATATAAGATGAAAGATATCAAATATTTTTAAATATTAAAATATCAAAAGTATTGCTTAATTTTTTTTTTGTCTTTTTTGAAATATTATTAATTAGCATTTACCTGATAAAAGCTATCACGATCACTGATCACTGATTCTAAATCATCTTCTTCGAGAACATGAGTTTCCAGAATGGAATTCGATAATTGATGTGAAGTAGTCAAATCATCCGCAAATGTTACACGATTTTGTTTAGCAATTGTTGTAGTTGATGGACCAAAAGTTGTACGAGAAGTTAAAATTGATTGTGGTGTTTGTGAATCATTTAAATTTGAAATATTTATTAAATTATTTGATGTTCCTATTTGCCTTTTTGAATCCAATCCAACTGATATTCTACCATTTGTTTCACACATTCTATAAAATTTTAATCATTTTAATCACAATTTAAATTTTCAAAAATTATAAACAAAAAAAAAAAAAATTTTAAACATTTATTGCTTATTAATTGGCAAATTTATATTTGACTGAATGACTGGAATTATTGAAAAGAAAATAGAAACGAAAAAGATATGAAAAGAGAATCAAAATGAGAAAAAAAAAACAAAACAAAACAAAATAGCAGTTAAAAGCGAAAAAAAAAGAAAGAAAGAAATGATTAATTAAAGGTAAAAAAAGGAAAAATTTACTAAAAATAAAAAAATGAGGTCAATGTAATTAAATTTGAAATTAATTATCTCACCTTAATGAAGGATCATCATACGATTGATCAGTACTTGTTGTAATGTTATTGGAATTTAAAGAATCATTTATAGTATTCGTCAAGAAATGAACACTTGACGATGGTACCATCAGTAATGCCCATTGTATCAATTTGCAACAATCGATTGGTAACTGAAATTTTAAATTAATTAATTGCAAAATATAAAATTTAAAGAATCGCTTATAGTATTCGTCAAGAAATGAACATTTGACAAATGGTACTATCAGTTTTTCAAAAATACAATAATAAAATTCTCGATAAAATAAATTTCAAAAATACAATATAAAAATTCTCGATAGAATAAAGAAGAAATTTCAAGAATTATTTTTGAAAATTCCAGAAAAAATCAGAAATTATTCGAATTGAACAATCATTTATTTCAAATTAAAGCATTAAAAACATTTATTTAGCTATTATTTAAAAAAAAAAATAAAAATATAAAACAAATTAATGATAATTAAAGAGATACCTGTTTGATAACAGCAAGAAATTGATCCAAAGCATCACTACCTGGTGTTGTACCATAAACGTTACGTGGTCGTGACAGAGCACTAAGCGCCCAACCGGTATTGTCCAAATTTTGCTTTAATTGTGTTATAATAGCAGTAGAGCTTTTCAGTGGTAAAAGTAATTGCTTCAATTCTGAAAAATAAATAATTTCAAAATTTGCTCTTTTTGAAATTATAATTTCTTGGGAGAAAAAAATTGAAAGAAACTTTGAGATATTTGATGCTTTAATAACAATTTTGAGCTCTAAGCTTTCAATTTTTTTTAAATTCAATTATTTGATTTATTATTACAGAAACAAGAATGAAAAAATATATATATATATAAGCAGATAAAATACAAAAGAAAAAAAAAACGAATCATTGTAATAAAATTTAAAAAAAAAAAAGAAAATGTTAAAACTTGAAAATATATTATTTCAATTTTTGAATCATCGTTGATTTCATTCTATCGTAGAAATATTAATTGCTCATTTATTAATTTATAAAACTAATTGTATTAGCACTATTTTAAACATTAATAATTTTAATTTAAATTACACAATAGCTATGAATATCTAATCTTATCTTAGGGAAAAGTTATAAAAGAAAAAAAAATTAATTTTAAAATTTAAATAATTTAAAATGAGAAAGAAAAGCAAAAGAAAAAGAATAAAGTACAGTAATAAAATTAAAACAAAAAAGAAAACTTATACAAATAATTAATTTATTAAAAAAATTATTACCTTACAGTAACAAAATTAAAATAAAAGAAAACTTATACAAATAATTAATTTATTAAAAAAATTATTACCTTACAGTAACAAAATTAAAATAAAAGAAAACTTATACAAATAATTAATTTATTAAAAAAATTATTACCTTACAGTAACAAAATTAAAATAAAAGAAAACTTATACAAATAATTAATTTATTAAAAAAATTATTACCTTCTCCTTTTGGATTAGTAATGTCAACTATAATATGACATGCGACATTAAGAAAATAATTCATTGAAATTGTAATCATTTCTATGTATTCTTTAATATCAAAAATATATTGTTGCAAAATATGCGGTTGTCGCCATGAATTTGTCGCCGTAAACTGTATAATTTAATTGAAATTATTATTTAAATTTAAATATTTCACAATAATTTAAATTATATTTTAGTTAATTTTTTTTTTATTTAAACAAAATTGAAAAAAAGAAATTTTTCGTTAATTTTTTTGCTTTTTTTTTTTCAAAAGATTTAGCATATAAATTATTTGAATTAATAGCAAATTTTTTTTTTCGCTCAATTTTATTATTTCTATTTCAAAAAAAAAGTTTTTTTTTTCATTTCATTATTTTTTAATTTCTTTTTTAATTAATAAAAAAAAGAAATTAAAAAAAAAAAGAAAATTTTGTAGAAAATAAGCAAAGAAAAAAGAATAAACCTTATCTAATTGCTCAACGCTATTTTCAATATTTCGATAATATTCAACAAGTTTTGAGCAAATAATTTGTTTCTTAATATTTTCCTCATTTGTTGAATTATTTCCATTGCTACTAAAAATATTTCCATTATTCATTTAAATTTCTATTAAACTTTTTTCTTCAAATTATTTTAATAAAATTTTTCGACAACAAAAAAAAAAAAAATTAATTTAATTAATATTTCCTGAAAAAATTTCTCATTTTATTTTTTTCTTTTTTTTTTTTTAATTTGGCTTTTAATAAATCATTTATTTGTAGTTTGTTTGTTTGTTTGTTTTTTTTTTAAAGGAAGAAAAATTGATTCTTCACTAATTATTAATTTATTTTTTTCTCTTTTTTTTTTTTTAAATCAAAGTTTGCATTATTCAACTTTTTATATTTGTGTAAATTTAACATCAATTAAACCCATTTTTTTTGTTTTTTGTTTTTCTACGATTGAAATGAATCAATGATTTCATGTGAAACAATTTTTAGCTAAAAATAGAAATTTTAAATTCATTGAATTCATTTTTTTTTTCTCTGATTTCAATGAATCAACTTAATCCTTCTAAAATTCAAAAAACCTTTTGGATTTAACATATTGTAGTGGTGCTAAATTTAAATTAATTTTTAAATGTTTTAAAGATTTAAAAGTTTTTTTAAATCAAACTAACCGTTTTGAAAATTTCATCTAAGTTAAATATTTAATTAAAATATACCTTTTTTATCTTTTTCATTTTTCTCACTGAGAAAAATTAGCTTAGTGACAGATGCATGAATAAAGTTGAAATCAACCGAACATAATAATTTCCTTATTCCGAATAGAATTAAAACTTTCCGGAAATACAAAACTTTAAAAGACTCTTTCATCTCTTTTACCTTTCCAAAGAACGACGTTGATTTATTAATTCAGGTGCGATACTTTCGCTGCACTTGAAATGATCATTTAAGGTAAATTTATTTCCAAGCATACTTTCAGGTGGTATTGATGAGCTCCTGAAATGTTTTTCATTTTTATCAGAAATTCCGGAAATTTAGTCATTTTTGCTTGCTATATCTTAAAGCTATCTTTCTTAAATTTCTTCCGGTATTGCAACTTATTCAGATTGAAATTTCAAATGAACATTTACCTATTTCCCATCCTGCTATTAAGTAATTTAAAAAAAAAAAAAATATCTTGACACATGAAGAAATGTAACAATTCAAAGTTTTAAATTAGTTATTTTGAGGAATTATTCGTTAATTATTTATTTCAAATTTAAAATAAACAAAGAAAATTTTAGGAGAAAAAAAAAAAGAAATTTGTTACCTATGCATAAAATCTCGTTGATTATTCAAATTGAGTGAAAGATTAAATCGTTGCTCTGTACTACCGGTCATTTTCAGATCACCTGGACATGTGACAGTGTTACAATTGATGAAATTATCTTGTAAAGTAGATTTACTGCTTGATTCAGCTTTTTCGTCTGATACTGTCATCAGTGGATTAGATTGTTCAAATTGTTGACGTTGAGTTAGAGCTATTCCTTCCAAATCATTGAAATGATCTGCTATTTGTTGCTGATCTTTTGGATCATCGATCCGTGATCGATATATTCTTCCCATACGTGAAGTATCATAATTAGATTCAATTAAATCTGATGATTGTTCACATGATGATAGTGATGATGTTGCTGAGGTTCGCTGAAAAGTTTATCAGCAAAATGATCTCTGATCTCTTATCATATCAATGATTGAAATCGATTAGATGATTTCATATCGATCAAATGTTTTCATAGTGATTTCATAACATAAATCATAATATTATTTTATGGAACAAAGAAAAAACTATAATTTTTTTTTTTTTAACAAAATTATTCATTCTATTATTAAGCATAAAATAAAATCATTATTAAGTTTAAACATCTCTATCAATCAACTATGATTGTAATTTGTGTTAAAATAAAAAGAAATTTTAGAGTAAAAAATAAATAAATAATAATAAGAAGAAGAAATAATCTGAAAATAGAAGAAATAACCTGATTACTTTCACCGTTCGAATCATTCATATCGGCAACAATTCCGGATGATGATGGTGATGAAGAACTGAGTTCATCATGTGGAATAATTGTTGTATTAACAATAACAGCACTATCCGATTCAAATTCATTACCTGAACAACAATTATTTTGTACATCAATGGTACCAGTTGTACCGGAATTCAAATTTGTTGACCATTTAAGGTTAGATTTTTTTGAGACAAAATTTTTGCCTGTAGCAAATTTTGATGGTGATGATAACAGTGATGATGATGATGAATCATCCATTGAGATTGTTCCTGAAAAAGAGCAAAAAAAATATTTCAAAAAAAAAAATAGCAATCAAAATTTGAAAACAAATTTAAAAATAAAAATTACATAGGCATAAAGCTTTAATTATCTTTATTCAAATTCAAAAACTCAATTAGATGATTTCAATACCTATCAAATTATCAAAATTATTTTTGAAGCAAATAATTTTTATATAATGCTGACTAATTACTTACTAATTAACAATTGTAAATTAATTTAGCTTTTTAAAATAAAAAAAAATATAATACTCAAACTTAGTTCCTTTTTTTCTTCGATATTTTCATATTCAGTAAACTTTTAAACAAAATGAAAATAAATGAATTATTAATTAATTCATTTTGTTTAACTTCCGAGCTTAAATTAAATTTTCTACTATTTGAAATTTAAATTTGTTAAATTTGTTATCACAAATTGGATGTATACGTAATCATACATTTATTAACTAATTTTTTTTTTTTTACATTTTTTCTCGAAAAAGCTTTAAGTGATATTTTTATCTTTATATTTTATAATTCATAGATAAATTTAATTATTTTCTTATAGAAGTAAATTTACAGAAGGAAAATTAATAAAAGACAAAATATCAAATATACCTTAAATGATTAACAGAGAGAGGGAAGAGGGAGAGAGAGAGAGAGAGAGGGAAAGGGAAAGAGAAAAGGAAAGACTTTAATTCAAAATCATTTATCGAACATATGTTTAGTTTAAGTATTCGTTAACTCATTCAAACACATTATAAAATCACATTAATATCGATTACCCATATACTTTTTTAATTTTTTTTTTTATTTATTAAATTTAGTTTATTAGAATTGCATTGCTTCCGGAGTTTTTATTTACTTTATTTTTTTCTTTTTGTTATTTCTTATTTTATAATTTCGAATTTTTGTTTTATTTTGTTTTGTTATGTTTTTCTTTTTTTTTTTTTAAATAAATTTTGCAATGATACATTACGAAAATATGGTGGAATTTTTAATAAAATAACATACAATAATTCAAAAAAAAAACTTTCTCTCGTATATTCCTGAAACAAAATATTTCCGGATCATGCATATTTCCGGATTGAAAATAAACATGAAAAATTGATATTTATATAAATGCATGAAAGTTTTAGAAATTCAATAGATATATTTATTATTAACTAATAATTTATTGGCTATCAAATTTTTATTCTGCGTTTTTTTCTTTTTTTTTTGAATTTTTTTTTAAAAAAAAAAGAAAAAAGCAAAAATTCCCAATAATATAAGTAACAAAACAATTTTGTAAAATTTTACTATTAATTTTAAAATTAACTCAATTTAGCAAAACAAAGTTATCATTTCAATGTTTTCAAGATTTTGAAATTAAAAGTTAAAGTTAGCTTATAAAATAACTATAATATCAAATAGAAAACTAATGCAACTTGCAAAACAAAGCTATTAAAGTTATTATTTAAGCTTAAAGTTTTAGAATTAAAAGTCAAAGTTAGTTTATCAAATGACAATGATATTAAATAGAATATAAATTCCACATTGTTCAATTTAATTATGATTGAAAAAAAAAAGTTATTTTTTTTCTTTTGCCAATATTAGTTGAAAAAATTTAACAGCGAGAAATTCATCATTTCGATTCCAGAAGAATAAATTTTATTGATTAAAAATCCTTCATAAGAAATTGCTATTTTCAACTACTATTTTTTTTTTTTTTTAAAGCAAAGGATAGAATTTAATAATTGGCATTCATCTATAAAAATGAAAGAGTTAGAATTGTTTCCGATTTTATTCTTCCGGAATTCGTCCAAATAAAAGTTATTTTTATTGTTGTTAAAGTTATAAAATAAAGAAAGCCAAAAAAAAAAAAATCACCGGAAGTAATGAAATCCTAATAAAAGTAAATTAAAAAAAAAATATATGAAAAAATCAGAAATGAATTTTTTTTTTAAAAAATTAATTCCACAAAATTTAAATTTAAGTATAGATAAATTAACTGTATTGCTAATATAATTTCATAGCTATATTTGTTACAAATATTTCGGAAAACAATTTGAATTAGAAATCACAGAATAATTTTTCATTGAATACAACAATTATTGACATCGAATGAACTAATCTCTCACATTCTAACATTTAACTATTTCTAAAATGAATTTTTCATTTTTAATTTTATAATTAAATTTAGTAAAAAATATTTAAAAAGTTAAAATAACAAACAAAAATATTTATCAAACCTATTTTTTGAAGCTTTCTTGTGACACTATCCAAGCAATTATCGTTGCTATCCATCCTAATTGATTTTTGTAAATTATCACTTTCATCATCATTTAATGAAGTTGAAATATTTCGATTATCAAATTTTGTTTTTGATGCAAATGATGGATAATTTGATGTTTTTGTTGTAAGCGAATCTGATTTTTCTGTTTTTCTATAAAACATATTTATAAAATTAGTAATTAGAATTGAGAAAGAATTTATTTAAATAAAACAATTTAAAATTTAATAAAAAGAAAATTTAATTTAATATGAATTTTTTTTTCAATAAACTTTTCTTTCCTTCCTTTTTTTTTTCTTTGTTTAAAAATGATTTCAAAAAAAAAAAAAAAAGCAAACTTAAGCCATTTGTGATCATCATCATTTGAGGTAAATTCATTTGAACTTGATGATGAACCAGGTGTTGCATTCAGTGATAATATCGATGGATTAATAAACTTTCGTTGTGGTGGCGGAGGTGGTGAACTATGACCTCCACTGAAACACCAACGCATTTTGGTGACACACAGAGGAGAGAGAGAGAGAGAGGGAGAGACAGTATCAATAAATTGATGGAAGAAGTTTTAATCTGTTCTTTTTCCTATAACCGATCGTCAATGTGATAGCACAGAAATTGTCACCCAGATAAAAAGCGCTTTTTGACGAGATAATATGATAAGAAAACGTTACCTATGGAATAGAGCAGAAATAATAATTTCAAATAATTCAAATTATTAGTAAATATTTTTAAAAAAAGCTACTAATAATTTTAATATTAAAAAAAAAAAAATGAGAATAGTAATTAGTACTAATTGAAGTATTAATGCAAAGTAAATTTAAATTTAATACATTGATATTTGTTATTTCGATTATATTTTAAATTTGATAATTTTGTTTTTAAACTTTTTGAAAAATTCAAAGCAAAAAAAAAAAAAAAAAAAAAAAGAAAAGATTTTGAAGATTTAATTAAATAATTTGATATCATATTTAAAATGTTTATTATGATATGAAATTTTTTTTTTTTTTTTGTTGTACGGAAGAAATTTAAATGATTAAAAATGAGATTTGATAAGAATGAAATGATAATTGTTTAATCATTTATATAAGTGAAACAATGCTAAAAATTAACAAATTTTGATAAAATTGAATATTATAATAAAGGAGAAAAATTGCTATAATTAATTCAAAAATTAATTTAGTAATTTTAATTAATACAAATCTAAAATTTTATTTAAAATTATATTCATGATATTAATGGATAAAAAATATTGTAACAATGATAAAACAATTGATTGATAGATAGATATTACAATGATTACTACTTACTATTACTTTATAATATCTTAAATTGTTTATTTCTTTCATTGTTTTTTTTTTTTTTTAATTCAATTTACTTTATTAATATTAATAAATAAATTTAATAAAATAAATAGTAGATTAGAAGAAAATAATGAATGATTGAAGTATTAGTAACAGAAAAAAGAAAAATAGATTATTAGTATATTTATCTTCTTTTATTTTCTTTTTTTTTTGTTTAAATAGAAAATTATAATGTAATGATAATCTTTATGATAATAATGATAAGAGTTTTATTGATAACTATTTATTATGAAAGAATTATCAATTAATAAGAGACAAATTATTTGAAAATAAATTAGAATTTAAATGATAATTTCATTCTATAAAAAAAAAAAAAAAAGAAATAAATGAATAAAAAATAAAATAGCAAATCATTTATCGATATATCTTCTTCTTCGTTTTTTTCTCTCTCTCTCTCTCCCTCTCTCTCTCTCATTTTTTTCTTTTTATACAAATAAATAAAAGTATATATTGCACCTGAAAAAAGATTCATCAATCAAAATGAATCATATTTTATATAGCATTTCTTTCTTTCTTTTTTTTACTTTTAAATTTTAGTTAAAAAAAAATTTTAAACTTTTTGTTTGATAATAAATAAGCATAAAATCAAATGAATAACAAATGACAATCATTGTCATTGTCATCTGTTATCATCGATTTGATGATATGAAAAAGGAATGAGAGAAGTACAATTGATGAATCATTGAAGTATGTTAACGTAGTGATAAAAGTGTTCATGCCTGCCTGATGTAAATAATATTATTAAAAAGTAAAGTAAAAATTAATTTTTATTTTAAAAATTTGATTTGATGTAATTTTGTAAATTATTATTTACTTAATATTTTTTTTTTTTAAATCAAATATACATTAAATAAATTGATATATTGTTTACATAAATAATAAATTGAATAAAATAATAGCATATTTAATCAATTTATCAATTATAGATCGTTTTATCAATTTATCAATTATAGATTGATAGTTTATTACTTTGAAAAAAAAAATGGATTGTTGAAATAAGCAAATTGTGCAATAAGTATTTTAACCTGAAGTTTTTCAATTTAAGTAGCATAATTAAAGTACTTTAGGATTAAATCATTTTTTTTTTAAATAATTTAAAAAAAAAGGTAAGGAAAAAAATAATGAAATTTGTGTCGAAGAAAAGCAAAAAAAAAAAAAAGAATCCTTTTAATTTTTAAGAATATTTTTGATGAGTATACTTTTGATATTAAAATATAAGGAGAAGAATAAATAGTAATTAATTTTAATTTGTAATAAACAGATGTCCTTGAATGTAATTTTAAATATATTTCGATGAAAAAATGAAGTTATAAATAAGTAAAAATTAGACATACATTTAACAGAATACATTACAAATATTAGAATAAGAATGTATTTAAGTAATCATATTGATTGATTATCATTTCAAAAAAGTTAAATTTAAAAAGGAATAAATCAGTAAAATTATGAGCGCAACTTGTTGAGAAAATAATTTGGAGGAAAATAACAATTTTAAAGTTATAAAAGATAAAGATAAGATAAGCTTTATCTCAAATTAAACTAATAATTCATAATAAATTATCATATCATTATTTTAACATATCAATAATATGAAAATTATAAACAAATGCAATATGTTTATGTGTTCTTATTAAATTATTTATATAATCTTTAAAAAAAAAAAAAAAAGAATTTTTTTTAAGTTCATTGTAACAAAAATATTAGCAATTTTTCAAATTAGAATTATGACTTACTTTAAATTATTACAATCAAAAAAATTTTTATCCATCAAAAGAGAAAAAAAGCGGAAAAATGTTGAAATTAAATGAGAGGAAAATAATCACTGTTTTTCTTAAAAGCTGAAAATAGCAATGCATTTGAGATAACACTGATAACACGCTGATAAGAGATGGAATTATTTCAAAATGTTAGAAAGAAAAGATTGATTAATGATATTAAACCTTGTTTGACTATTTGAAAAGAGATTAATTGAATCAGACAAATGAGATTTTATAAAATGAAAATGAATTTACAAGAAAGGAAAAAATGAGATCATATATTGAATCGAATTTTTTATCACAAATTTTATTGTTCTGATATAGTAATAGTAATAGTAGTAATAATTAAAGATAATAAATAACAATATTAATAATAATAATAATAATAATAGTAATAATAATAAACAATATTAAGATAATAGCAATAATGTGTAATATAATAGTAATGATAATGACAACAGTAATAATAGTAATAAATAATGTTAGGATAATAGCAATAATGTGTAATATAATAATAATGATAATGATGATAATAATAATAATAATAATAATAATAATAATAATAATATAATGCAATATATAATAATAATAATAATAATAATAATAATAATAATAATAACAGTAATAATAATACGTGATATATAATATAATGCGTAATATAATAATAATAATAATAATAATAATAATAATAATAATAATAATAATAATAATAATAATAATAATAATAATAATAATAATACGTGATATATAATATAATACGTAATATAATAATAATGATGATAATAATAATAATAATAATAATAATACGTGATATATAATGATATAATAGTAATGATAATAATGATAACAATAACAATAATAATGGTAATAATAACAATAAGAGAGGAAAATATTTTGCAATAACAATGATATTAGAACACAAAAACATTTTTAATATCTTTTATAAAAAGAAGAAAAAAATGTGTGATTGAATGAGATGAAATGAAGGACGTAAAATGCTTTTGAAATATAAACTTTTCTCGCAATCACAAAACAATGATTACATTACGTGAATTTTTCATTTTCTTTTTTTTTTTTTGAAATAATTTTTTTCTTTTTTTTTTTTTAAAAATCTTTTGAAAGTTTTTCTTTCTCAAAGAAGAAAAAAATAAAAGATAACAAAAGAGAGAGAGAGAGAGAGAGAGAGAGAAGATAAGAAATTGCATTTATTTTGAGAATAAAATCATTGATTTGGAAGAAATTATGCAAAATTTTGATATAAAACATTTCTGAATATATATTTTTGTATTCATACAATGATACTTTTTTCATTTATAAAAGAATCTAAGAAGGAAAATGGAGAGAGAGAGAGAGAGAGAGAGAAGAAGAGAAAAAAAACGGAGATAGAGGGTTAAAAAAAAGTGACAAAGAAAATGGAATCAGCGACAAATCGGCGCTTTTGGGTTTTTCTATTGCTAAGAGAAAAAAAAAAAATAAAAAGGTCGGAAATAATTTATTTTCATCTTTTCTTTTACTGTCACTGTCGTGTACTTTTTAAGCAATCATAATGGAAAGGTTATTGAACGAGTATTGACCTGAATTTATATTTTAGTAAGACTGTCAATAACATTTGCTACTACAGTAACTCTTATTGTATAAGAATGAAAGTTTACTTAGATAAGTTCATTTATTAAATTAATAATTAAGCAATTTTAATATTTTATTGAATTCGTTTAGAAATTGAATTTTTTATAAATTTATGCATGAAATTTCAGCTAATTAAATGGCAAATTTTGATAATCCCAAAAACTAATCAGTGAGTAAAAAATAAAATTAAAAATTTTAATGATTATATCTTATGCTATGTGGTGAACATTTTAATTTATATAAATTAGTGACAAATTTGCTTTCGACTTTTTTTTTCTGGTGATTTGATGATTATCAGAGGGAGAGAGAGAGAGAGAGGGGTGAGTTGTTGTTAGGAGGGAAAGTTTTATCAAAGTTTTCATAAACTAAAAATAAAGTAATGAAAGGGAGAAAGAGAAAAGATATATGATTACTTTCTTATCAGTATTGACATGAAAAAAAAAAGAAAGAAATTATCAGTGCGAGGTGAATTGCTGGATAAAATGAGTGATAGAAATCATATAGAAACTAATTTAGTCTATGTGATACTGTAATTATCGTAATTAGTGGCGATGGTACTGTAAATTGTGGTTGTATTTATTACTTTATTATACTTATATAATTATTTTATTTAAGTTATACTTTTATAAATAAGAGAAGAGAAAAGAAAAGAAAAAAATTATTTTTAGATTATAAAATATTTGAAATATTTTATTTCAAAGTTTTCTGTAACAAATGAAATGATATTCCAATTAAATTGTCATAGGGATAAG